GACAACCTCTCGTCAATATGCGTTTTTTGCATTGCATTGCTGCAAAAAACGCATAATAAAAATTAAAAATATTACATCGGCTTTAAACAGTTGTTGCATTACTTTGCTATTTTATTATAAAATTATTATTTTTGTATTTTATCTCCTATATTCCTAATCATTGCAACTTGCTTAACATGCTCCCCCCGATTTACTCTTCTTTTTCTCCTCTACACTTGAGATCAGACTCAGCTAATACACATCAGATAAGCAGCAATTTTATCTACCCTCTTCCTCCCCTTTTCTTCATTTTCTTAGTTTCTTTTTTCTTTTTCATTTTTTCTTCCTTCAATAAAACTCATGTAATACTATTAACCACATTTTATCTTATTTCATACTGATGCACAGATATAATTTAAATAATAATATCATAATATTATCCAATTTACCTCATACTACTATTCACTTCATCTTATCTGATAAATGGTTTTAAAATCACTCACTTTACCTTTATATATTGCGCACTTCACCTTTTATGTACAGTTTAATACTTATGTGCAAATACAAACATAACTAATTTGTTATTTATTACAGGGCGATTCAATTTATCAATATTTTAATTAAGCAAGAAAAAAAATTCATGGATCCAATACTGAGCAGGTAAGAATTTACAACTTTATAAGTTTCCCTTCTTTCCATTTCTTCACTTTCCGTCTTCTATTTCTTCTCTTTCTTATCTTTATTTTTAAGTTAAAAATATCTATACTACACTAAATCGTCTAAATTGTTTTGTTACCACAATCGTCGTACTGATGAGGTCCAATCGTGGTAGCGGTAAGAAACGTATACGACTTAATGGACCGAGACATTTCTTACCTATTACAAATATTTCCATACTCCCATTTCTTTTTTTTACTTCGTTTTTCTTCTCTTCCTCATTTTTCTACTCCATCATTTTCTCTTTATCCTTTAATTATAAGTTATTCTGCACAACGCACAAACATTTAATGCCTGTCTGCTAAACTTGTTTCATTGGAAGGGACTGTAAATGCGAAAAATGCTGAATTTATTGCAGTGGCGTTTTATAGACAACTTTCCTTTTAGAAAGCAAACTTGACAGCGGCAGACTAACCTCCTCGTACGGCACTGCAATATCAAAATTCTCAGTAGGGTCTGCGAGACCATTTGCGCTGGCACCAAGACCGTTCGCCGATGATGTGAGGTGATATGCTCTACCGTAAGTCGGAATTCCAATAACAATTTTGCTTTTTGGCATCCCTCCATCCAGCCACACTTTTGCTGCATGCTCCTGAATATTTCTTGACTAGTCTCGAGATTTCGTACAGTGTACCGAACGTACAGCACTTATTATGTTTTAATAGTGCACATTAATAGTTTGTATCGCCTGTAAGCTGATGCGATAGTTAGATAATTCAAGTCATGTCTCCACTCTAGAAGAAAAAATTAGTCCCCGAAAATTATTAAGTCATAGATTCTTTGGTGTTCATGCCTTAATATTAATTTAGATTTTGAGCTAAGATCCTTACAAGAAGAACAAGAAGAAATGTAAATTAATTACAATTTCGCGACCACGCTCAAATTTGTTTTCTTTGCTCCCAGAATTTTAGGATTTCGAGGTTTAGAGCTGAATAATGGGTTATTTTGTTTTA